CCTTTGCTATAGATCTTTAAATATGACATAGGGCCTGCTCATGTAAACGTTTCTTTTTAGTTCGTTAGTAGATATTTCTGTTAAATTATAACGAGATTATCATAGCTTTAAAACGATCATATCGTTATGAGTATCTCGATGTCGATTCTTCATCTGAGGCAGATTTTAGAGCGGGTAACTGTATAATTGTAGACCAATGTGCTTACGTTACTAAGTAAGTCCATAAATACTCCCTCCTCGAACAAACGGATAAATTTAGTAAAAAAGTCTCGAGTATTGCCGTACAGCAGCAGCAGTCCCTAACAATGCAATGAAAACGGAAAGAACCATTGCTAACGACTTTATTTGACAAAATACAAATATACTTTTACTGGTAGGTAATAATAGATTGAAACCCTGTCAGATCCTATGTATTTTTTTCATGACGTCACGCTATTTAAGTAGACACATTACTACTGCTTTAAAAAAGCGCATGGCCAAAAACTTTAATTTATATTGTAAGGTGCCATGATATTTCGCAATTGCGAGAATGCCATGAGGGGCTCTCACGTACATTTAGACTTCTACGACGGTAAACCAATCCCATATTTCGATTATTACTATTAGTACGTAACTAGTATATGCTTCAGAGCTAGCTTCAAAGCCAACTCCTTCATTAGTTTTTCTTACACTCTATTGGTGCTACTACACATATGAAAGTGAAGCACGTATTTATGTGGAAAACTAATATATAGCAAATATCTATAAGGAAAGGAACATATTCAGCGCAGATTGAAGACAGTTAGAGAACTACTTCAGACAAATTCAGCAATCGTTTTATTATCGGTTCATTATGCAAGTACGGCCTGATCGATCGGCCGATTGAAGTCTACCATATCCTAAGATATTTCGTTTACTTTCCCTGGAACATTTCACTCGCTGATCATCCTCCTCAAGCCCGCTTTTTAGCCGCAATTGTTTGCGTCATTATGGTCTTCGCTTTGTTTGTATAACGAAACGTCATTTTGACTCTGGACTAGCAAAATAAATATGTAAGATAAAAAAAAGGAAGTGAACTTGAGCCATGACTGAAGCTAGGCAGAATATTTGTTCCGCGTGCTACCAGAACCATATGCCTCCAACCCCGTGTGTCATCCAAGTTCTAAATCTATAGAAGTCCTTGTATACGATCATTCCCCGACCAAACCATAGTTCATGGAATTCTTTTGCCTGCTTTGCGTTGACCTACAAGTGTGTACGGGTAAAACTGTTGCCCATTGGTTTTGTTAAAATAAATAGTAATGTTGCTAATGGATAACAGTTTTATCTTTGGCAACTGGTGGGACTCGCGGCGTAATAGGATTACTAAATCATTTTTCATGTTGTTAAAAGTGATGCAATAAACCTAGAATTTTTTGAAAAAAATTGATAAAAGACGTCCCTTCGAACAACTGCGCTTACAAAGGGCCTTGAAATCTTTTAGGCAAAAGTGCCCTTTTTGCGCAGGTTACAAGCACAAATCTAGTGCTCAAACTGTGTGAATTCTGGTAACCAACTCGGAAGACTCGAAGCCATTTTTACTTTGCAAGTCGAGTGCCTCTACGGCAATAAAACAGTTCATTCGGTTCCGCTAGATAAAGGAGCGTAGCGTAACGCGAATCTTTCCTTGGAGACTGAATGTGAAACTGACACGTGCGCGGTCCGACCCACCGAATAACGTATTCTACCTTCTTGAACATCTGAAAGGTATCCCTGAAAGCAAGTTCCATGTCCTCACAAACTTAGAATAATTCCAGTTGGGCAAGGAGCTGAGGGAACGCACCGCAAACGCTTTCGATCCCCTATTTTGTGAGTAAGCAACTTCTTAATGTTTTCCTCAGTTATCTTGCTGGTGCAGAGCTTCTATTCCTTCTGCTCCGAGCGCGAGCCAACCCCGATACTAAGAGGGTTTTTTAGCGTTAGACAGTTGATTTTACAGAACAGCTTGATTTTTTTAAGTTTCTTCTCATAAATCTACGTAGTTATACTACGATGAAACTCTACTTCGATGGTAGGTTTTATCGTCGTTATTAGAATTCAGCAAATTTCCAAAAACCCTGGCCTAAAGCGCATCAAAATGTCCTATTATTGTAAAAAAAAACATAAGATATTATTATATTGCACTTTCGCTGTTATAGGTAAAATAATTTTGCTTTCTTTTTCAATCGTTGAAATATTGAGCAAAAGCCAGAGTATGTAAATATGGCTGGCTTCATACATTCTACAAAATCTGGTAATGCAGAGTTTTTTTCATTTTTGCGCACTATGCGTGGATACCTGGTGGCAACCTAGTAGGTCCATAGATAGCTATGGGTGAAAGTATTGGAGATTTGATCAAATATGGTCTAACTACTATAGTAATAAAAGACCGCTACTCCTTGCTGGGATGTCCAGTGCTTTCTAGCTGTTCATTGCGTAGAAACAACTTTTGCCTTTTTGTTATTTCAGTTGTCAGTAATCTATAGATCATCAATCAGCTCTTTGCAGCAAATATTTAATGTGACAATTGAAATTTTCATATATATATATATAACACCACACACTATAAGTTATTGAAATATTTTTCTAGCATTCGTTCAATATTGATGTACCATATTTATGGATGTTATTACTGTGATAGCAGCATCAATGATACAATGCAATGTATCGTATGGCAGTGGAGATCAAACAAAACGCGTCGAGCGCAATGGCGTATCGACATGTTTACGCTCGATACAACCAGCCAAATTGCCTAAAAGATGTCGCTATACCTAAGTTATAAACATCGTGACTATGGCGGCGGCGTCTGTTTTGGAGAACTGCATCCTGATGGCGCCATCCAGACTATCAGGATTGATTCATAACATTCTGTTTAAATCTAAAAATGTTATGCTTTTAAATTAAATTACGAACTTCATACAGAGCGGCATTCGCGTTGCCGTCGTGTAGAGGTGAGGAGAAGGCTGGACTGAAAGGGATGGGCCGGACAGTTGAGGTCAACTAGAGCTCAGGTCTCCATGCCCGGTATCGTCGTGAGTGGAGGTGAAGGGGTACGTCGTCGTTCCGAGATGGGCAGCGCCACGTTGTTTAGCATTAGCGCTGCTGCTGTTACTGCTTACTGCTGACTTGAGGCCGCGAAAACAGTCTGGGAAAGGGCGCCCGAGTATGAAGAAGCTAGGGGACACGGAGTGAATCAATGATCGCCAGGAGTGAGGAGTTGTATCTCGAAACTTAAGCCGACAGTTTTTAACGCAAAATGGCTACTATCATTCCGCATTTTCTCCTTTACGCACAAGCGCACCAGGGAGAAGTGTGAGGTCCGTGAGCGGCAGTCTTTCTCCGTTGCTGTAGAACGCCGCCCTCCTCCTCAATGTTTTGCCTTCCTGCGCCGTCGTCCAGTCTTCGATGGTTAGGCGTCTCGCACAGCCTTCTGCCCAAAGCAGTACAGCGTACTTGCTAACCGTGCTGACTGTACTATGTTACGTTCCTGCCTTTCATCCCTAGCCCTCCACACCACTCGCGCCGTCCTTATGTCGACAAAGCTACTCGCTATGGCTACTTAGTAAAGTCAGCGCGTTTTCCTCGAGTGGATGTCTTCTGCTACTCCATACGAACCGAAACACCACACATCTGCGCTGCTTTCCCCAACTTAGCAAAGTTTCCCCTTTTCTGCCCTGGCAGACCCGTCAAGACGCCCTCAGCCCTCAGCAGCCCTCTCCACTCACGGCGATTCTCCATACAAGCTAAGGAGACACTTAAGGACTTTTAGGTCGCTTACTCTACGAATAGCGTAGGCTTAGGCGCCGTCGACTACGTTGTACTATCGTCACTGGTTTTTTGCCACCTGGCTGTTCTCAGCCGTCCGCCAATTCACGCCTAGTATACGTTTTTCGTTCATTTCGTTAAACCTGAGCTACTCCAGTGGGTCCCCAGTAAACCGAAACTAAGCCGTTCAAATCTATTCATTCATTGCCTGCCTTCAGGATATTTAGCAATAAACCGCCGGAGCGACGGCTCACGTTATGAAAACGACGACGCTGGGTAGAGAGCGCCAAAAAAAGTGGCCGAACTTTGTCAAAGTATATTGATCTATCTTAATGAGTGATCATCATATTGGCGGCAGCGTAACCAACCGGCATAGCCTGCTTATGCACAGAGTATGTGTATATCCAGCACAGCTAGGAAACATGATCGACCCCGTCGTTTTGGCAAAAGTCTCGACTTCTCAACGATAGAAATGGCACCTCTACTGTTTGTCTAGTAGTTCCTCGAGCAACCTCTACAATGTTCGGCCTATTGTGTTGACTACGCTGACGACAATGACAGCTTTCTACTGACAGTATATCGCATTTACAATTGAGGTCGCTGATGCCCCGGCTGCAGAATCTTCAATTGTGGAGATCCCCGTAGCAGACACGAACTCTGGACCAGCGGCACCAGGCAGCAAAGTGTAGAAACAGGAAGGAGACGCGCCTTAAAGGCCAAGCATCAGCGACGACGAGCGCAAAATTTTCCAGTCATTCGAAGATGGCTGGCTGGCTGGTGGCAAACCTGACAGAGCCCTGCTACTGGCGCGGACCGATCAAAAGGACCTTTCATTACCACTGCCAATACCATCAGCACCAGAAACAGCAGCAGTAGCAGCACTAGAGGATTACCGTTCAGATCACTGCCGAGCCGCCGACTGGGAAAGCAGGATCAGCAGCAGCTACCGGCAACAAGGAGGATGCGAAATGCGAGCACACTCGGTCCACTCTAAAGGTGGAGAGAGCGAAAAACACCAATGCCGTCATCACCAGCGTTGCCGCAGCGGCGATAGCCTGAGCCAGAACGGTGAACCCGAGAGTCTAAGCCGGCAATCTCGCCTTCTAGCCCGGCCGCAACTCGCTGGTCATGCTTTTGTCCGCGAGTGGAGGCGGCTGAGGCAGGGCTGGGCCCGCTGCCGTACCAAAACATTATATAGCTGGTGCTTCTGCTATCAGTTGCCAGACAGTCACTGAAGTGCTTTTGTCGTCTGCCGTTGTGGCCGTGTGCTCAGAAACGGTACTGGCGGTAGTAGTGACGATAGAGATACTCGTGCTGCGGCGGCTGCTGCTGCTGGCAGCGCACCAGCAGCTGCGGCTGCTGCAGTGGCAATGACTGTGTCACGCTCTGTTGACGTCTTGTTAGCTGCAGTTGATTGTCGGCGGTGACGACAACGCCACTGTCACGGTCCTGGTAGACAACGCGGCAATTTATTCGGTCCTTGAGAGGCGGAGAAGAAGCCGGCCACTTTGTGTGGACATCATTGGTGCCGCCAATCTCCTTAAGATACAAAATTATGTGCGAATACTATGTAGCTGATAGTGTTGGAAGTAACTTTGATGATTATGATTGTGGTGCTGGTGATGATTCTAAAATAAAGTGATAATGACCTTGTATTGGTGCCTCGAATGAACTCGATGCTATTGTGTGTGATGGAAAGTGTCCTTGTGCGCGAGTGAAGCATAAAAGAAAAAAATGACAGAAGACATAGAGTCACTTGTGCGCTGTTGATATTTTACTCCGCCGGTATACTGTAGAATCGTATGTCGTTTATCGATCGCGTTTGTAGTCTGCTATGACTTGACACGACGATGTAGGCCAATACGAGGGTGAGGTAAATCGAATTCAAAAACGAGCCAGGAAGAAAACAGACTGTAGAGAGAACACGCTTAACGAGTAGAGCGATTCACATAGATCTATTCATTCTGCATAGCTGTTTACGCAGAATTTTACATCAATCTATCGCATTTACCTATTACTACTACTACTACAAAGATGTCTATAGTATTTGCAAATGTGTAACGTCTGCGTGTGAGCAAGAGAAAACAGGAACACCCGGGAGCAACAATGCCTAAACAACGAAACGAAGCACAACGAGTGTGTTAGAAGTCGATTGCCGCCAATCAAGTAAACAATATTTCACCTTATATACTTCGTTCATCTCACTGACCGGGTCCGACCGCAGTTTGAATGCGATCAGTTAGAAGCCTGGTTCAATAGCAAATTGAGCTTCAGTTCTTTCTGAAGTCTATAACAAATATCGACTGTATGGCGAGCTCGCGCGAAACTTGAGTAACTTGAATAACTCCCCAGCAGTTTAAATAGGCACTGCGTAGCCCATCGCTCTATGGCCGTTACTGTGAATCCGGCGTTCGCCGCATTCTCCGCGCTCGGTATTTCGCAGACGCCTCTAAAGATTCGAATCGAGGCCGAAGCTCAGGCAGTTCGAGCACCAAATTACGAGACAATAAGAAGACGTCCAAGCGCATATTGTACTTGCGTCCAACTGTTTACTGCTTGCGCCGCTAGCTCTTTCTATCTGTCGCCAAAGCCAAAGGCAAAGGCGCCAACCTTTGGAGGCTGCAAAAGCGCGCGTGCCGGTTAAACAGAGGAGGTGCGGATGTCGCAACGAACGAATGTTGTTATCAAACAACCTCCTTCAGCAGAGTATTAACACCGGTCGCGCTTTAGGACAATTGCACAACGCCAACTGATCGACGACTATCCTTCTCTACTATAGTTATCTGCCTCTGACCAGATCTGCACCGGTCAAGTAAAATAGTTGACAACGTTTGCTTTTCTCGTAGTTTCTAAATAGCAGTGCGGAATACTGTCAGCTGCTGAGATTTGTTGCTAGCATTCGCGTTGAAATACAGTCGCTGCTTGGGACTGAACTATTGTGAATGTGACAAAGGAAACGTCATGCATTTCTATCTAGCTCAAAAAGGTATTTTCTTGTATACTAGTACGTGCCACGAAAGACCGCTACCAATTGCCACCCTAAACCCACGACAGGAAGACCTCTAGTCGACAAAGCACACAGGCAAGACTTGTTTCGATGGATGAATTTCCCTTAGAAGGATCGCACCGAACTGGGGCCCTCGAGATTGAATAACGTAGAACATCACAACAAGCACACTCGCCTGCTGTGTGTCCGTGCGTGAAACTAAGCGGGCCTACGAGAACGCCGAACGACAGCTTAGCTAGCATCAACGTGCTCATCTCCTAGTTGAATTTATTACACCCATATATATGTATATATGTATATACATATATATATATGTGTATATATAAAGAGATAACAAATACTACGTTGAATCAAGCTACGCATCGTCGATCATATCGAGGCTGCTTTAGTCTAGCCAGCTTTTACTCTAAGCGTTAATTACGACGAAAGGAAACTGCAAATAACCGGACTATCTCTCCTTCTTCTCACTGGAATTAAGCAGCTCTACAAGGTAACAGTCCTCGATCCCCGAATCAATCCGAGCTCGTCTTTTTCGCTTATGTATGCGCATATCTACTATCATATATGCGTTTTTACATACATTTTGGTACGTATGTTGCTGTTTATTTAGCTGTTATTAAGTGTGCTGTTCGTCTATCAGCCAGCTATTGGCGAAATGAAAAATTCTGTTACCGTTTCGTTATTCCGCCAGCGACAGCACCGTTTCATCGCATTTTCTTCTGCGCAACCCAAACCTACCCATCGACATTCATTCCCTCATTTATATATATATATTCATATATATATATAAGTATGTATGCTTCACCACATTGAGCGAAAACCCATTTCAGCTAAATATGGTCATAATTCTTTGGTGAGTGGTGTTAACGAGAGCACCAACCGCATTTGATCTGTCGTCTCGCTCCGTCCCGGCTGATCGCTCAAGTGAACAGAATTGAAGTGCGATCGGTTAATTAGTTAGCTGATTTGTTTTCGGCAAGCAACAATTAACAGAATCTTTAGCCTACTATTGATTGTACCGCTTCTACCAACGCTCTAATGATTGGCTTTCTTCTCAATTGACCATCTGTGTCTTCATCCGTACGACTCCTTCTACGTACTATCTGCTCCACCTTGACGACTGCTACAGTCTGCGTCGGCGAGCAGAACGCAAAACTAAAAGACGAAATATTGGCAACACGTGAAGCTCACAACCAGTAGCGTATCCATAACAGATATATGGCTGGCTTCAGATTGATACCTCTGTAAAATTCCAACACCAAACGTGTACAATTGCTGTCCAAACTGATGCCACGAATCTTTCAGAACACTGAGGTACTTCAGCAGAATGGTCGACTCGTTTTGCCTACCAGCTTCAACCAGTTAACTAACTGTTAGTACTATACGACTGCTACTATATAACTCTTATACTAACTATTATAACGAATTGCTATAATTATACAATTGTCGAAAACTACCGCCGCTGTGAGCTGAACCGACAAAACTCGCCAACGGTCATCACTATCGTCTACTCTAAGGGCCGCTTCCTCTGTCGCCATCCTCGAAATCCGTCAATGTAGAACGCCCGAGAGGGGCGCTCTCAATGCCCGTCATGTTGCCCTAGGCAACCGGACACGCTACTAAAGTCCAGAGATAAATGCTGCATCAGCCTGTCACTGTATCTGTCCGGCCGCCCAGAGTATCAGCTGTCGGCTGCGAACGCAAGCCCCCCTATGCGGGGGGCACGCTATGTTTCAGCTGCGGCCATCTGTCGATATCAGCAATAATATTCATACAGCAGCAACAGAAACAATAACAAGGTTTTTCAAGAGTTACTGCCGCCAACGACGGAAGCCTCATTTTGAAAAAGATCAACCAGCGTCGCGGCTGCCACGCCTCTACCAAAGGCAATTCCTGCTAACTAGGCCCTTTTCAAGTCCGATTGTCGTTACGTCTTACCGCCGTCAACGCCGCATAGCTATCCGCCTGGACGTCGATAATAATAATAATATTAAAGAAAAATACAATATTATCAGGCACTTCGTCAACGGTAGCATCACCCAGCCTATCTATTTGTTATTTAAACTGAAAGAGATAACTGTCGAAGTAATTGTTGATAAATTGTGGCATTTATTCACAGTCATATGCGTTTGTAGCCAGAAGCAGCTTGTATCTGACAGTCAGCAAAAAAAACGACGCAACGAGAAAGGACGGCCTGAAACTGCTGAAGACATACCAGCAGCGGTGAAATTGCGAGCAGTCATTCTGCCGCTTCACTCTACCGAAGTCGTCGATAAAGCTGCGTCTCGATACCCAGGGATCGAAGGCCAGTCCTCTTATAAGCTACGTAACTCTGTTGAGTGGCGTAGCGTCACGGCTGTAGTGGCATCACAACCAGCCAGATTTCCACTTGATGTCTTTAGTCCTTCAAACAAAGACGGATATATCGCTGGTTTACCGACATCGATGGTGCACTTTTGTCTTTTGAACCACACGTATTTTCCCTACAGACAGGAGTTGTGCAAAAGAGGCGCAGACCCGAGAACGTCGAAGACTCAGACCTGGAGAGAAAGCCGACACTCTATTGTTGGCGTTCCTAACAGAGGAAACAGGCAAAGACAACAACAAGAAGACAATTTGTTGTCACGTACCTTAACGGCTCTAGGCCCAATGTTCCACAGGGACCGAAACGACGAGCCAAACGATATTTACAATAACATCCTAAAACAACAGAATTTCTCGAGTGTTCTACCTTATCGTCATCCACGTAGGGTACTAATAAAAGATATCATCACTGACCGCAATATTTATTATTACTGTCGCCGTAACTGTTATAGCAGTTACTACCAAATTACCATACTCATCACCTGTGGGCGCCTAGCGCGATATTGCTCATTACGTAAACATTATCGAAACAACTCGGCGTTATCAAACGACTGGTGCCTACATCTGTGGCGTACCGTCGTTACATAGACAGCAAATCAAATAACAACAAATCTCTTCATTGACCCTGTTATCATCGTAAATACGACGGCGGTAGTCGCACGAGTTAGCTTTCATCAGCGTCGTAATAGAAGAACACCAGCAATATCGGCCTCTATTCCTTTCATACCAACTATTTTTGGAACGACTGTGATTATTATTTTTAGTGCTGCCATTAATGTTATCAACTTAACGAATTCATCGAATAACAAGGGAAAAAATTTGCGCGTCTCATGATTCTCTGCCCAGGCTCAGGTCTTCGCGCACCAACTAGACCCAGCCGTTCGTTCGACAGCAGGAGCGACAACATCTTAACAGCATCAACTGCTGTTATCTCCTCGCGTTGGAGCTCTTCGATTGTGAAACAGCTTGTCGGACGAATGGCAATCATCTCCAGGTTGTTCACTGCGCCCGGAGATCAGCGACGAAAAACTCCAGCTGGTCCGGCCGTGGAAGTGTCCAGCAACAGATACAACGTACTAAGACATAAACGGAAACAGCACGGTAAATGAAATCAAAAAAAGCCACGTCGTAACTATATACAAGGCGGAAGTCACCGAACGGAAGTTAGCGAGGAGGCGTTCAACCTAAAAGAAAAAGAATCGACAACGAGTCAGCAGCAGCAGCAGTAGCAGCAGCAGCAGCAGCAGCAGCAACGAGGTTAATTTCAATAGCCAGCTTAACTTAAGATCCTTACAGAAAATGATAACAAGGTTAAAAGAGCGATAACTACGGTAGAAAAACAGATATTATCAAACAGGAATAAACCTGTCGAATACAACAGCAGAAACAACAACAGTCACAGTGTAATTTCCGGGATACCGACAAAACCAAAGGGTTTCGAGTACCAAAAGACAACGAGAATCTTGAGAGAGAGCAACAAGCGGTAGGTAAATTAGTTGCTTTGAAAAGGACCCATAGGTCTCAAGTACAGGAAAATAGCAAAAACTTCGATTAAAAAAACGGTGACGACGATAGTACAGAAAGAACTGACTGCAAATAACAGTAGATGAAGAAGAACAACAACACCTCGTATACTGGCCGACATCAACTAGGATCATCGAAAAGTAAGAAACAGCATATGCAAAGCTAATTTCTACTGATTTGTTTTCCTACTAAATAATCCTATCGAACCATTCGACAGTTGGGACGGAAAGAAAGAAACAAGGTGCGCAATTTAGAACAGATTTCAGTTATGGCATTTACTGATATGGAGCTGGCTCGTCTCGAGGCTGGAGGTCCTCGAAATGCCAGCGGTAAGAACAACTCGAGTATGTTATCCTTGCACTCGACGTCGGTACCGTCAAGGACATCCCTTCTTGGAAAGCCAATTAAAGGACATACCGGCAGGGCATCGGACGCCGCCTATCGCAAGCGCCAAGCATTTTGGTACAATTTTCTTGAAAGGCCCCGTGGATATAAGGCAGCATCGTATCACATCTTAATGTAAGTCGATGATTATGTACATGCAGATGGGTGTAACAAAGTAGGTAAATAATTCCTACATGCAACTCTAACATTATGAGTCCCTTGTTCTGTAGCCCACTTCCCTCCGTTCCATGAGCAAATCTTGAGCGAACCAGCAGTGACAATAGCAGGTTTTGTAGCGGAGTCCACAAGACGTTGCATTTCTCGCTACTGTAAAATTTAATCACTAAGATTAAAAATTAATCTGCTTTGTTCGATTAATTTGCCCTGTCGATACAAATTACCCTCGTTAATCATGCGTTTTTGCCCACCGTATAGTTCCGCCCCGACGATACATAATTACCGCCTGCTATATATATATTAGTAGCCTTAAATATCTTAGTATCAAACATTTCGGAATTTGTGTCCATTACCGCCATTTGGTCGTTGTCTAAATAAGTTTAGATTTTGTATTGTGAATAAATACCCTAGTTAGAGCAGTGGCCGTGCTTCTCTAGAATACCAATACTGAGACAACGAAAGCGCTTGTTCCTCATAGAATCCTGTTGCGTCCTCTTGCTCCATGAGCTACCGCATGTGCTGGCATGCCTGGCAGTATTATTTTCGTCGCAAGCGGTTATTGGTCCGGCGAATTTTTTCAATGCAAACATTCTAGACTCTAGAGGCATTACGGAGACAACAAAATACACAAAACTTCATGATGACCTTTTCTCTCAAACATATGTTGCTCCCGTACATGATGTAGGTTAAAAAAACGATGTTGTATTTTGTTAAAAGTCGTTTGTCGGGGGAAAGAAACTGTAATTATAATATTTCTTGTGCATCCATTCGGCCTGCCACTTCACGCTTGATACGATTGAAGGCCTTTTGATTGAGTAAAGCTTAGATTAACCTGGATCGCAGCAAATTTGCATATCTGCTCTGTGGATGCTTTTAGAAGACAGGAATTCTAAAGCAGATCTGACAAACCTTTTTACTAGGATAACTTATCCACCTAGGTCTCGGCGCATGGTTTTATACTCTTAAGACATTTCGGTTCATAGCGAACTGCCACGATCCATCGTCCCAGAAGCCTCGCTGCCATGTAGGCTTTAGTGTTGCTCAACACATTTAAGTTGGCCGTTGCAGTTAGATTACTTCCTAAATTCAAACTTTGCCGTGTACTAATTGCACATGACAAATTCTACACGAATCAGT